TATATATATCATATAATCATGGTATAAGCCTAGAAATTTACCATATCCATGTATAAATAAATATAAATATATAAAAAATAATAAATAATTATAAAATTCAACCTCTACACATAATTGTAGATGGAAAGATAAAAAAAAAAAAAAAACTAGCAATGTATAAAAGAAATTTCTATCATCACGTCTTTGCTTATAGCACATTGGCCTTTTTTTATTTTTTTAATTTTTTTCAAACTTATTTAATTGAATTATATCTTTTTAGTAAAAAAATAAGAAAGCATATATGAATAATTTTACTAGCAATGAATAATTATAATTTACTTGTATAGAATATATATTAATTTGGGTGAAAAGAAAAGTTCAATTTGGGAGAAGAAACCAAAAAAAAAAAAAGGAAAAATACAATCTTAATATATTTGACCTAACACGATTTGAATGTGGATTTTTTCATAAGTTCTTTGTTTCTATAAACCATCTTAAAAAAACTTATCAAAATAAATTAAGACATTATATTTTTATAATCTCTTCAAAATGTTCTCACAAATATTTATAACTTAAATAAGTTATTTATAAGTTCTTCTAATCTCAAGAAAAAAAATAGAATTATTTTTTTTACTAATTTAAAAATGAAAAATAAATTATTCTGTCCTAAATTCGTGTAAAGTTGAGCCAAAAATTCTGAATTTAAGATAAAATCACGATGAATAATGAATTTATCTGATGTGTAATTGAATTGTGATCATTGGTGTTAAGTTATTAAAGAAATAGTTAATTGCACCTACTTTTCGTCGGATGATAGCACTTCCTTTTTCTGTCGTGTATTGTCATTTTTAAAGAGCCTACTTCCTAAAATACACTTCTTCTCATGTATTTTCCCCCACAAGCACAAGAAATATCATCCACACCTTCATATATTATACGTAGTCAGTACGAGTATAATTAGTTTCAGATTTTTTAAATAATGTTTATAATGGAGTTTTATGAATGAATAAAATGAACTAAAAGGAGAAATTTTATTAAAAGTGCGTAATTAGACATTACTGTCCGTGTGAATTAAGTGATATATTACTTTAGGTTAATTAATAGCTTTAAGTTTGAATTGAGTATTACAAATATATTGGATACTCATATAGGGAGAACTTTGTTGTGTATAATTTTACCTTAGTAAAATAGAACTACTTTCAATAATATATATATATATATATAGAGGACAAAAAAATAATTTGATTTGTTTATATATATATATATAAAATTCATATTTATATCATAGCTTATATAAACATTTGACAAAAAGTAATTATTATTTTTAATAATGTATATTTTATATCAATAACATGATTAAAAAATAGTTTCACTATTAGTTGCCTTATATTGTATGCATATTATTATGATATATTAAATAAATATTTTTTGGTATTGCTATCAAATACTAGTTGCATTCTTTGAACAATGTATATATATATTTTTTTATATAAAAGTTTAGATCATGACAAAGTACAATTCATGCAAGTTTAGAACTAAATAAATAAAGTTGGGTTAGATTTGATCTTAAGTTCTAATTTATAAGAGCGAAGAAACTTAATTAATTGTATTATCTTTACATGAATAAATAGTGTAACTTTGGTACAATAAAAACAATCTTAGGATATGTTTAACTAATTAATTGATTTTAGATTAATTAAAATTATCATTATTTTATTTAAAAAATAATCTTTAGATTTTTTTAGTATGTAAAAATTATTTATTAAAGTGTCACATTGATTTTCATTAAACCTTATTTTCAACTTATTGGCTAAATTACTTTTCTATTCTTTTTATTTACATGATTTAATTTGATCTTTTAATTTTTAAAAATTATTTAATGTTATCATTCTATTTAAATTGATACTAACAATGTTACTTAAAAGAGTTGAAAATTAATGTCGAATAATTTTTAAAATTTGATAATTAAATTAAACATTTTAAAAATTGAAAGACTAACTTGAAAATTATAGAAATAGAAGAACTAAATTGAATAATAATTGACAAAAATAATTTATACCTGTATGTAATATTTAAATAATTTTTTATTTATCTTAAAATATAGTATGTTTCCATAAAATATGTTTTACATAAATTTCTATAGCAAATTCTATGGGAGAAATTAGAGCATTTTCAATTTCATCTTTCCTGTGTTAAAATAGAATGAAAAATCGATCTTTCAATGTTCTACAACAATATCATTATTATCGATACACACATTTTGTTTTATTATTGTAAATTTTAACCAAT